GCTTTTTTTGTCACTCTATTGCACAGTATTTCTCTTAAAGCTATCAGCATCAGAGCTTAAAATAGCAAGCGATATATGAGATTCTTAATACGGTAACTCCTATTTACCTTTCTGGAGTTCAAGTCCACTTTCCAGAGTATCTGGGGAAGAAAAGGGAGGGATTCAGCATCTCATCACTGGACAGAAGGGCCTCCCTACAGATATCCTGGTTTGCTTTGCAGGATCCCATCTGGGTCAGTCAACAGGACGAGAGGTTTTGTGTTCCGGGCCCTTGCTGGAGCCTACCTTCAGGGAATTTCTCTCTAGCAGAGTGTGTGTGCTGTTTTCTGTATGATATTTATAGTGTCTGTGTGTGGCTTTTTAGATGTCTCTGTGTGTGGCTTTTTAGACAGGCAGAAACGAAGGTGGGCTCCAGGGAAGGACCGAAAGCCCGGAAGACAGAAACTCTCATCCTGGTGACCGACATAGAATAGAATAGGTATAGAATTGAATTGGAAGGGACCTTAGAGGTCTTCTAGTCTAGCCCCCTCCTCAAGCAGGACAACCTATATCAGTGGTGGTGAACCTACGGCACGCGTGCCAGAGGTGGCACTCAGGGCCCTCTCTGTGGGCACGCATGCCACCACTGCCAGGAGTTTGTGCAGGTCCATTAGGCCACCACCGCTGCCCGGAGCGGCAGCCCCACCAGGCACAAAGGAGGTGAAGCAGACAGCTAGCAAGCTCGAGTAGAGGTGGTAGAGCCCGCCCACGCCCAGCAAGGCAAAGGCCACCCCGAGCAGGGAAAACCGGATCCCCATCGGCGCCATAGCCCTCCAGTCCCAACTAGAATTGCATGCCTCCCCCATCTATGCTGGGCCTCCTGCCCACCCCTCTACCTGCCAGAGACCCCCTGGATCTCCCCCAACGCTGCCCGGCTTTCCTCCCATGAGCAACATCGAGGTGGCCATGCCCACCCAGTTTACCGTGACAACCGCAGCCATGCCCACCCAGTGGGCCACGCCCCTATGCCCCCCGCTGAGGGCATCACAATCCTGATGCGTCCCTGGCACTTTGCGATAATAAGTGGGTTTGGGGCACTCGTCGCCATCACTGACCTATATCATCTCAGACAAATGACTGTCTAGCTTATTTTTTAAAATCTCCAGTGATGGAGCGCCCACAATTTCTGGGGGCAAGCTATTCCACCGGTTAATTGTCCTCACTGTCAGGAAGTTTCTCCTTAATTCCAGGTTGCTTCTCTCTTTGATCAGTTTCCAACTGTTATTTCTTGTCCTGCCCTCTGGTGCTTTGGTGAATAATGTGACCCCCTCTTCTTAGTGGCAGCCCCTCAAATACTGGACCACTGCTATCATATTTATTGTATATTCGCTTTCATTCTTGTTTGCTTTCCTTGGCCTCAAATCAGGAAATAAGGAATAAGGAAAGCTACAAGCCAGAATGTCATTGGTGGCTATATCGATTTTGTCAGATATAAATATATTCTACTATATTTTCCATATGCAGGTAGTCCTCAACATAACCATTAATTTAATGATTACTCAATGTTACAATGGCACTAAAAAAGTGACTTATGACCAGTTCTCATACTTACAATCGTTCCAGCATCCCCAGTCACATGATCAAAATCCCAACACTTGACATCCAGAATGTATTTATCACGGTTGCGGCATCCCATGGTTCTGGGATTGTCATCTGCAACTTTCCTGGGAAGCTTCTGACATGCAAAGTCAATGCGGGAAGCCAAATTTGCTTAACAACCACACGATTCACTTGCCTGCAATGATTTTCTTAACAACGGTGGCAAAAAGGGTCATAAAGTAGAGCACAACTCACTTAACAACTGAAATTGTGCTCATAAGTCAAGGACTATCTGTATATATTCCATTATATTTAGTGGAAGCTTATTCAACTTCCCCAGTGATCAGTGAATATGGATTTGGGAAATAAAGAATACAGGTAGCCCTTGACTTACGACCACAATTGAGCTCAGAATTTATGTTGCTAAGTGAGAAATTTGTTAAGTCAANGAAATAGACAAAGTGATAGAAAATGAAGAAGTTAAAGTGCTTTGGGTCTTTAGAATTCAAAGGCTGCTGCATAACACCCCACACTTGACAATTATTGATGAGAAAGACAAAAAAAAGTGGGCATGGCACTACCTTGAGACAACGGAATAAAAGAGAAAGAACTGGAGAAAATCACAAAATACAAAGATCTGCAAATAGAAGTAGAACGACTGTGGCAAAAGAAAGCAAAGGTAGCACCAATAATAATGCACGCCTTGGGTGTAGTCCCAAAACATCTGGAGCACCACTGGAAAGCATCGGCACTGACAAAACCACTATCAGAAAATTGCAAAAGGCAGCTTTACTTGGAACAGCTTACATCCTACAATGATACCTTTAGCACCATCAAACATCTGTCTATCCTTGGGAAGAACTCAGTAGCTGGACAAAAATACCAAATTCAATCTAAACATCTAGCTGACTGTGGGACCAACCATAATAATTCACCATATCAAATATTGCTAGTTATGTTATGTTGAGGATGTCTGGGGAAATATTTACGAGGCCCTGAAATACATTGTCTCTAAATTAAATTACTGCTAAATACAAACAGAACTTTCCAAAATAGGAAAACTGCTGGAGGAGCTGCCGGTCTCTGAGACTGTAAAGAGGAGGGTGAAGTCACTTACTTCTTCAAGATGCTTCCAATGTCCTAAAAGAGAGAGATGGAAAAATGAAAGGAGCCATTTCTATGCAGTTACATTCTTAAAATTCATAAATGTGTGAAACCAGATACAAACTAACATGTAATTAAAAAGTACTTTTTTTTCTTTAAAAAAATGCTTTTTTCCCCAGCTGCTCACCTTTTTTAGAGAAGCATTGTTTATTTTTATTTCCTTGTTACAAAAATTATACCCCGGTATAACAGTAATAGTAATCGTAATAATAATAGTAATAGTTGTTTTGTTGTTGTTGTTGTTGTTGTTGTTGTTGCTATCATTATTATTATTATTATTATTATTATTATTATTATTATTATTATTATTATTATTATTATTATTATTAAGTTGGAACAGACCTTGGAGGTCATTTAGTTCAACCCCAGTCTCTTCTTAAAAACTTCCAGTGTTGGAGCATTCACAACTTCTGGAGGCAGGTTGTTCCACTGGTTAATTGAATTCCACACAAGTATTGAGGTTTCCCTTGCCCTGGAGATTAAGGGGAGGAGACCCCACAATGAACATCCACCAACATGTCCCCTAATAGGCGATAGGAACCATAATCAGGCATTCTTAAAAAAAATTCTTTCCTTTTTTTCTTTCCCCTTTATCCTACAGTTTTTCCCATTCTTATCCTTCTCCATTTTCCTATTTTCTTTATTTTCATTTGTACTTTTCACTATTATAATTTCAATAACATTTAGGAAAAAGGAAAAAAAGGAAAGAGTCAAAAACAGGATTCTGTGGTGAGGCTAAAGCAGTCTATTCCATTTCATCATTGGTACACCGTGATACAAAAAGGATGCTGAGGCCCAAAAAGAATGCAGAGAGGAGCAATAGAGATTATAAGAGCTCTGGAAGCCAAACCGTACAATGAATGGCTAAGGGAACTCAGTATGCTTAGCTTAAGAAAGAGAAGGTTTAGGGGAGACAGGACAGCCATCTTCCAATACTTGAAGGGCTGTCATAGGGGAAAGGGCATCGATTTATTCTCTGTAGCACCTGAGGGCAGGACAAGAAGCAAGGGATGGAAGCTCATCAGAAGGAAATCCAACCTAGAAATAAGGAAGAATTACCTGACAATGAGAACAATTAATCAGTGGAATGGCCTGCCTCCCAAGTTGTGGCTGCTCCATCACTGGAGGCTTCCAATAATAGATTGGACAACCATTTGTTCAGGACAGTATAAGGACTCCTGCCTTGGGCAGAGGATTAGACTAGAAGACCTCCAAGGGCCCTTCCAGCCCTATGATTCTATGATCTCAACTTCCTGCCTGACCTGTAAGAGTTTGCTGGCTGGCTGCTGATGCTTCTCTTCTATCTCCTGGATGAGATCGTCAAGAGAGCACAGTCCGGCCAAACCCTTCTCCTTTATTGCCATAATCTCCTTCTCCGTCTCTTCCATTCTAGCCAACAGAAGCTTCCTCTGTCCTTCTAACCACAGTTGTAGTTCTCTGAATTCAGCCACTACATTTTTTCTCTCTTTTTCGATGTGGTCCTAGAACAAGAAGACAGAAAAAGCAAAAGGAATATTTATGTTTTATTTTTACTTAATTATATTTATTTTTATTATTATAATATTTAAACAGATTCCCTGAAGAGTCCTGAAATGAGATGGGAGAATTTCCTAGGGAGAAAAAAAACACATTTTGACATCAACAAGCACAGGGGGAAAGGTTTCTAAAAACCAAAAAAAGGCTCAAGTTAAATAATCTCTCATGAAAATTTTCTGGGCAATCAGGAATTCCAAAAAAGTAGACAGATAAATGTTTGATTTCACATTTGTTTCAATAAGATGAAATATGGTCTCCGTTAATTTATATGCAAACCAAACCCACTTTATAAAACATGGCTCGTGTGACAGGTGCCCTTAACCCACCTGTGAGTCATTCAGCCAATGGTGACATCCCAGTCCAAGATACAGTCCCCAGGCTAAAAACAAGTTCTGTGCCCTGTCTTTAACTGGAATTTCATTTAAGTCAGAACTTGTACTTACAAACAGGCTGCCTATTATTAAAGATGGCGGGTGGTGTTCTCCTTCCTATTAGCTCAGAAGCTCCTCACTGTTGGATCAATACTTACAAGCATCTCCTGAACTCTTTGCTCTGTGTCTGTTTTGTATGTAGCTATTTTTTCTTTCACCTCCTTCTGAGCCTTCAGGCAACCCTCAACCTTGATCTGAAAAGAAAATCAAGGTTTGAGTTTCTTTTCCGTAATGTGTTACATCTGAGGGAAGAACGAGTTAGAAGTTGCCAAGCGTCCACATATTGATCATGTGACCACAGGAATGCTGCAACAGTTGTAAATGTAAAAAATGGTCACAAGTCACTTTTTCCATTGCTGTCGTAATTTTGAACAGTCACTAAACGAATGGCTCTAAGTCGAGGACTACCTGTAATGGCAGGAAAGTGAGCTGCCTGAGTCTCCTGATTGCAGTCACCTGAGAAGCATCACTGAGAAACAAAAGCTTGGGCTGAGGTGGCTTTGGCCTGACCCACCAGGAGTGTTTTTCAGGGTCTGCACTCAAGACTTTGGAGGACTCTATGATGATCTTGCTCTATAGCAAATGTGGAAAGTGAGCTGGCAAAGGGTGTCTATTTCTCCCTACAGGCAATTTCCGTCGGTAAGCAAGACAATTAAGTGAAGTTTGTCCCATTTTACAACCTTTCTTGCCACAGTTGTTAAGTGAATCACTGCAGATGTTAATTTAGTAACACGGTTGTACAGCGAATCTGGCTTGTCAGAAGATCTCAAAAGCGGATCACCTGACCCCGGGACACTGCAACCATCATAAATACATGCCACTTGCCAAGCATCCGAATTTTGATCACTGACCACAGGGACGCTACAATGGTCATAAGTGTGAAAAATTGTCATAAGTCACTTTTTTCAATGCTGTCACTAAATGAATGGTTGTGAGTCAAGGACTATGGTAAATCTGTCTTCAAAAAATTGGAGGCACACAGGGGGTGAAGGCCTCAGGTTGGAATTAGGGAAGTTTGTTAAAGAAATTGCCATGGCAGAAAGTTGCAGATGAGTGTAATAAGACCAGTAACCAATGGTGGGACACAACTGCCCAGCAACAGGAATGTTACAAGAAAGTTAGCAGGACTCTGTGAGAAGGATGCTAGCTAAGGCACGTAGACATAAACTTTGGTAACTTCTAGCTTATTATAATAATAAAACACACAACCCTTTTGATAAGAAAGCTTATTAGCATAAATATGCAATGTATGAAGGAGGGTAAAGTTGGGCAGGACAAGAAATCAAAAGAAACACATGTCAAGGAACCAATGAGTGATTAACTTCCTTAATCTATATAATATCACTAAACCAAATAAAACTTCATTTGAAAAAACTGAAAAATCTGCAATTGTAGATGTTAGGGAGAATTGCTATTGTGAAAATGAATGTATTGCCAAAAATACTTCTTTTATTTCAAACAATACCTACACCTATAAAACTAGAGAATTTTTTTTTTGAAGAGCTGAACTCCTTAATTTTAAAATTTATCTGGCAAGGAAAGAAAGCTAGAATTAAATTGAAAATGTTACAAGAAACTAAGGGGAAATGGAGGTTATGTTTTGCCAGACTGGGTTTTATATTATCAAGCATCGCTGTTAACATGGGTAAAAGAATGGATACCCTCAGACATAAAAGATTGTTGGACTTAGAGGGACATGACTTACAACTTGGTTGGCATGCTTTTTTATGGTATGGGAAAAATAAAATTCATAAAACATTTTCAAAACCGCTATATTAGAAATGCATTATTGCTAACATGGGAAAATAAAAAGCAAAATATATTTAAAAATCCCAGGATGGCTGTCAACAATGGAAGCATTTGTACACCCAAATCTAGTTAGCTTTGAGAAAATATGGACATATAAGGATATTCTAAACTCTGAAGGGAACTTAAAATCTAGACAAGAGATGGAAAATCAGGGTATTGATTTATCATTAGTGTTCATATTTACAGATAAGAGTGAGATATGATAAAGATGTTAAATTGTATGGATTCTATAAAGAGCAGACTTTGTTTGATCAAATACTATTAACCTCTGATGAAAAACTAATTAAGAAGATGTATAATTTTCTATTAAATTTGAAAATGGAAGATGAACAAGTAAAAGAAACAATGATAATATAGGCAAATTTTTTTGGATATAATATAGATTTAGAGCAGGGGTGTCAAACTGCCAGCCCACGGGCCGGACATGTCATCTGGAAGCCACGCCCACCCCATTGCTGGCAATGGCAAAACGGTCCCGTTATTTTGCGCGATGTCACATGACGTCGCGAGTTTGACATGTCTGATTTAGAGAAATGGCAAAGCCTGTGGGAAAGAAATTACAAACTGACAATGCCAACCTCTAATAAAGAAAACTTATATAAAATGTTTTATAGATGGCACTTGCCACCAGCAAGATTAGCAAAAATGTTTTAAAATATGTCAGATAAATGTTGGAAATGTAATAAAAAACCAGGTAGTTATTATCATGTATGGTGGACATGTGTTAAAGCAGACATGTCAAATCCGCAACATCACGTGACATCGCACAACGTATCGGAGCTTTTTCTCCAATGGAGTGGGCGCGGTTTCCTGGTGAGGGGTCCTCCCGCAGTTTGACACCCCTGTATTAAAGCAAAGAAATATTGGAAAAAAATACATACTTGGCTAGAAAAGATGCTGGGAAACATATAGATTTTAAACCTGAACTTTTAAAATTAGGGTATAATGCCAGAAAAGCTTGAAAAACGAAGTATATTTAACTAATCAAGGAGAGAAGCAACCTAGAACTAAGGAGAAACTTCCTGACAGAACAATGAACCAGTGGAACAACCTGCCTACAGAAGCAGTGAATGCTCCAACACTGGAAGTTTTTAAGAAGAGACTGGACAGCCATTTGTCTGAAATGGTATAGGGTTTCCTGCCTGAGCAGGGGGCTGGACTAGATGACCTCCAAGGTCCCTTCCAACTTTTATTATTATTATTATTATTATTATTATTATTATCATCATCATCATCATCATCATCATCATCATCATCATCATCATCTAATTTTGCATGTGATAACAGCAGCAAGGCTTATATTTGCACAATATTGGGAAAATGAAAAAATACCATCGGAGGAAGAAATAATTAAAAAAATTCTAGACTGTGCAGAAATGGATAAACTTACTTTGAGACTGAAAGAAAAAGAAGAAAAAGAATATTTTCAAACTTGGGACTTATTTTATTAATGGCCGGAGAAACGAAATAGCGATTAGGAATTTAATTTGTATTAGTGAATGATAAACCCAGACAACACGTTTGTTGAATAAACACTATTGAATTGTATTAAAAAATCAATAAAAGCCATAATCTCTCAATTTCCTTAATCTTAACTGTATCAAATTTGTATTTGTATATGGTTCGGGGGTCTTGGCTCCTTTAGCTTCTTAGAGCCTTTTGCTGAAATACTTCAATAAAAGTTCCTCGAACTCCTGTCTGGTTCTGATTGGCATCTGCGCCAGGCTAAACCCGGTTTGCGGACAACAGAGGAAACAAGTAAAGTAGTTCAAGGATTGCCTGGAAGGCCAAGGATCTGGATGGCCCTCCGCAGGGATTCCCCCTGGCGGATTCCTACCTGGTACTCCTGGAGAGCCTCCTCCGGCGGGATCACCCGGTGGCCCCTGTGCTCTTGGGATAG